AAAAAATGAGTTTTAATTTAATGTTGGCCAAACAAGTGCTAAATTACCTACCTTATTTGGTAAGTTGATATGTTTGAAATCTCTTGATGCCTGCTATAGTGATATCAAAACTTTTTTCAAATTCTATTTGCAAGCTTTATAATTTGCAAACCTTAGATATTTTGAATTCCTCCCTTCAAAAGCTTCCATAAAAGTTGCACACTTTGATTTGAGGCTTCTAATTTTGTGTGCTCTTCCAAATGCACTCACTCTTTCGACGATTGTTAACATGTTTTTAAACATTGTTATCGTTCAATTTAGTAACAAGAAAGTGTGTTGAATCAGGAAATTTTAAAAATATGTTGTGGTGTGACCCAAATTCCTTTTAATTTGGTATTTGGTTGGATAAAAGAAGTCTAAGGAGTATAGTTTTTTGGATAGTCCTAATTGATAAGGACAAATTTCATCAAGGATTGTGAGTTTGACTTGAAAAATGACTTTGGGATGGTGAAAACATTATCGGAATGATCAAACCCAAGAGTGGGCACTGCGAAGCCATGGTCGCGACGCCGAGGCACCATGTAGAAGAACAAGGGGAAGCACCGCAACGCCCCAATTGACAATGACCTTGGCCTACTGAAGCCAGGAGTCGCGGTGGTGGCGCTGAGGTGGTACTGGGACGATGCGGATTTTATAATTTCTTCTTCAACTTAAATTCTAAAAAGAGGCTCCTATATATATTCCACATTATTGTATCTTTACATACACATTCAACAACATCTTGACAGTTAGAGAATTTAGATTTCAATTGAGAGTATTTAGATTTTATTATTATAAACACAATTACTATTGATTATAGTGAATTTTCCTCCTTTACTTATGGTTTTTCCCATCTTGGATTTCCTCATAAATTTTGGCGTTCTTCTTTTGTTCATGTTTATCTCATTATTGTCATTATCTTGCAATCAATTTACAATAAACTGATATCAGAGTAAGGTTGTTTTTTTCATGGTATCGATTAAATATGATATTCTGCTTCTGGATCGATACGTGAGATTTACTTTTGGCAAGTGAAGATGTGAGTAGTTCTCGCGCAGATGGATTTGAAGGAAGCCTTACTTGACTGTGATAAGATGCCTTCAACCTAGACGCATGACGAAAAGCAGCGTAGGGATCGAAAAGCTCAATCTCGAATTCATGTACATCTTTCAAATCAAAATCTTCAAGATTTTCTAAAACAGTAAAGTGCCACTGTATTGTGGTTGAAGTTGGAGCAATTTTGTATGACAAAGAGTTTGACCAGCAAATTACACTTGAAACAGTGCTTGTATTCTCACCTAATTTCTAAAGGTGCGTCATGGATGATCACTTAACTATGATCAAAAAAATCGTGGTTGATTTGAAGACATTGGAAGTTTAAGTATGATGAGGAGGATTTGACGCTAATGTTTTTCTGTTCGTTGACGCTATCATATGTGGCTTTTAGTGATACTTTTCTCTATTGTCGGGATACTCTTACTGTGGAAGAGGTCTATGGTGTTTGCTATCTAAGGAGAAAAAGATGTATCTTGTAGAAGGATTCGAGAGTCAGGCTAAAGGCCTGGTTGTTCGTAAGAGAAATCAAGATAGGAATCTTGGTAGATATATGACGGCCAGATTGAAATCCAGACATGCAGAGAAAACATGTCACTTTTGTAAAAAGAATGGGTATATTAGAGCTGATTGCTATGTTTTAAAAAATAGAAATAGGGCTACTGATGCTACTAATAAAGGAAAGCATCATGAAAACACAACGAATGCTGATGTTGTGGAAAATAGGCAAAGTGAAGGAGTGCTTCTTGTGATTTTTGACATGGATTTCAAACCTTATGAGGAATGTGTTCTTGACTCGGCATGTACTTTCCATGTGTATCCCAACAGGGACTAGTTTACAATATATAAATGAGTTTTTAGAGGTACAGTGATTATGGGAAACAACGCGCTTTGCAAAATTTACGGAGTTGGTACAATCAGGATCATAATATTCGATGGGGGCTATTAGAACAATTACAGATGTAAGGCACATTCCAAAACTGAATTGAAATCTCATATCTTTGAGTGCAATGACACAAAAGGTTATAGATACATTGGTGAATA